TCAATGAATGAATCAGGGAATAATTGATTTTCATTAATTAGTTTATCAATGATTACTTTTTTAATATCTTGAACATTTTTTGATGATGATGATAATGATGATGATGTTGTTACTGATAAATTTAAAAATTCAACAATATTCATTCTAACAATATTATCAATTGATTTTGATTTTAATTCAACCAAGTGATCCAATAGTTTTTGATTATCTAATGATGTTAAAAGAATTATATGACAATAAACAATATTGTGATCATAACCATTACCACCATTGAGTTTGTCGTCTCCGTTAATGCTGCCATTGAATGAAATATGTAAATCTGAGAATTGTTTATTATTGATTAAGTATGAATAATCACGGGTTATAGATGAAGATGCAACCAATATAGAAGGGATATAATTTGCATTTACAGGAGCTGAAAAAAGTGATGGATTACTAATATTTTCAGTACCAAGTTGATAACGATTATTATTACCACAAACTAATAGTTTGCCACTCTTGGTAATGAATGCACTATTAAAGCCACCTGCTGCGACCTTTACAATTTCATCGTCATCATCATTATTATTATTATTATAATTAAAATCAATTTTACTTGGTTTTGGATTGTAAGGTTTACTCGAATTAAATAGACCAAGTGCACCAAAATTATTGATACCCCAAGTGTAAACACTGCCATCAGTTGCTAAAGCAATACAATGATGATGGCCAGCACTAATTGATTTAATGGTTTTATCAATTGGATATGGATAGCTTGGTGAGGTTTGACTATTTGAACAAATTTCAAATGACATACCCCAATTCCAAATCATACCATTATTATCAAGAGCTGAACTAAAATAACGACCACATGAAATCGATTTAATTGGTGTTCTAAATGTTACTTGTTTTAAACCAGTGCCTTTTAAATAATATTGAAAATTTAAATCATCATAATAACTATTTGATGAATCTTTATTGAAAATCTCCTCACCATCATCACCACTGCCACCATTTTCATCATTTTCATTACTTATTTTCATTCTCTTTTTTTGTCTATCAGAATCTGTTTCATTAATAAAATGAATTGAAACAGATCTATTTCTACTTAATGCCATATCTGAAATATTATCACCTTGATCAGTTGCTTCTAATGAATAACAATGATTGGTTGTTATTTTACTTTTATATTGATATTTATTAGTTGCTGATAATGTTTCACTGGATGATTTTAAATAGTAACATCTATAAAGTAATGCCATTAAATTATATTTAATTGATCCTTTAATTTCATTGGTTTTTAATTCATTCTCAATCATTGGTATAATCTTATCAACATTTCTACCTTTTAAACATAGTTTACCTAAAATTAATATTAACTATATATATATAGAAATACAACATTAAAATTTTATTTTTATTTTTATTTTTTATAATGATATTATGAAATTCATACTTTATATTTGAATTCATTATTATCTGTAATTGTTGTAAGTTTATTATTTATTAATTTTACAGCTTTAAAAAGTTGATTCAATTTAAATAAATCTGATATTTCTTTGAAAAATAATTTTTGTTCTGTGTCCATTATTTCAAAACCAAATAGTTTGGTTGTGAATAAAAAAAAAAAAAAGTGAGAAAAGAAAAAAAAAAAAAAAAAAAAAAAAAGTGAAGAAAAAAAAAAAAAAAAATGGGTGACAAAAACCAAAATCAAGAAAAAAATAAGATATTTTTTTTTTTCTTTTTTCTTTAATTTTAAATATTTTATTTTTTTTTTCCCATTTTTCTAATTTACATGATTTTACAGGATTGATGGTTTTTTTGTTTCTTAGAAATTGAAGAGGAAGAATAAGATATTGAAGTTATTGAGGATGATGATGAGGAGGAAGTTATTGAAGATGAAGAAGATAATGTTGAAATCAAGGATGAACAACTCGTTGATGATAATAAGAAATTTTGAAAATTATTTATAATCATTGATAAATTTATAAAGATATCAACAATTCTAATATTATATTTTGCTGATGATTCAATGAAATGATTTGGAGTATAACCCAATTCAATGGCTAATTTTTCACCTTGTTCAGGTGATATTAAACGTTGTACTGATAGATCACATTTATTACCAACAATTATTAATGGTACTTGTTTGGTTTCTCTTATCTTTTGAATTTCTAAATGAATTTCTTTAATCTCTTCAAATGATTGAATAGAATCGACTGAATATAATAAAATAAATCCATTGGCATTTTTAATGTTTTTTTTTCTAGTTTCTTTATTTTGAATTGATTGATTACCATTATCAATCATTTTTAATATAAATTCATTTATTGTTTTTTTTGTTGTTGTAGAGGCACCATTATTATTATTATCATTTTCAATTGTTATTTGTTTTTTAAAAATTTCATCAGAGTGAGTTTCAAAATATTTACCATTATTTATAAATTGACATAATATACTTGATTCTCCAGTTTTTTTACTTCCTAATATTAATATTTCAAATTCTTTAATATTTGTATTATTTAAATTATCATTATTTTTGTCATAATTTAGATTAAAATTATTATTATTATTATTATTATTATTATTATTATTATTATTATTATTATTATTATTATTATTATTATTATTATTATTATTATTATTATTATTATCATTATTAATAATAGGATCCATTTTTTAAAAATAAATATTTATATATTAATTTTTATATTTATTTTTAACAGAAAAAAATTAAGAAAAAAATAAAAAAAGAAATTATTTTTATATGAGTATTTGTATGGTATGAAAAAAAAAAAAATTCAAAAAATAAAAAAATAATTAATATTATTTGTATTTTTTTTATCTGTATAAAAAATGGGTTACACAATTACAAAAAAAGGAAAAAATAAAAAAAATTTTAATTTAAAAAAAAAAAAAATAAAAAAATGAAATTAACACATTAAGAATCTATTTTTAAACCCTTTTTTTTTTTTTTTTTTTATTTTTTTTAAATACTATTCGTATTCAGTAAATTGTTATTTTAAAACTTTTAAAAGAATTAAAAATAAAAATAAGATTTATTGGTTTTTTTAATGATAGTAATAAATTGTTAACTTGATGTAAAAACATATTAGATTTCATTTGATTTTTTTTAATTATTTTTTTTTATTTTTTTTTATTTTTTTTTTTTATTGTTATTTTTTTTATCAAGTTTAAACATTATTTTTATTTTTATTGTTATTCATACTTAATTGTTTGATGTTCTCTTGTAAATAGTCCACCATAACCCCATTGAGAATCTCCACCTAAATAATTAATGATATTGAATGGATAGTTAAATAAAAAAAAAAAAAAAAAAAAAAAATTAGTGGTGGTGGTGGGGTAATTAGAAAATTATAATAATAATAAAAATAATAATTTATTTGAATAGAAAAAATAATTTTACCATCACCAAAATTAGTTGCTACCATTGGTTTACCACGATGTGCTAAATAAATGTCATATCCTTTTGATTGTAATAGATTAGTTTTAAATTCATAATGATGTTTTGCCTCATAATTATCACATTTATGAACTGGATGACAAATGAAAACATTTAAATTTTGAGCAACATAATGGTTTACTACACCTTGGGTGAAATCAGATTGTGAACAATTTGGGGTACCTTTGAAAATATTCTCCAATTCTGCAAAAACCTTATTAAAATCAATATCAATTGATAAATCAGTTTGAATATTTGGTTGAATAGGATTTGTTGTTTCTGAAATTGTATTAGTATCTTTAACTTGTTGACTTTGTTGTTGTTTTTTTGAATGCATTTTTTTTTTTTTTTTTTTTTTTATTGAAAAAAGTATAAATTGTTATAATTTTAATAATAATAATTTTATTATTATTTTATACTTTTTCAAATTATATATATTAAAATTATTAAATCAATTTTTAATTTTAAAAATTATAATTTATTAGGAGGGGGTAGCACAATTCAATATTATATATTATAAAACTCCCTCAATAATTTTAAGGGGGACTCAATTATCTAATTTTAGAATTTTTTTTTTTATTTAATAAACAAAATAATTTTTTTTAAAATTGTTTGAAATATTGATTCTTCATAGGGAAAAAAAAATTTATTTTGGGGTTAAAATTAAAATTAAAAAAATAAAAAATAATAATTTATTATTAAAAAATTAGCATAAAAATAAAATTAAAAAAAAAAATTCACTCTCAAAAATTTCTTCCTAAATAAATAAATATAATATTCTTATAAAAAAAAAATATATAAATAATAAAGTAATGTCTTGTTCTCCAGCCAAAACTTGTGCTCACGAAGCTTCAAAATATTTATCAAATGAAAAAAATTACTCTGAATTAAATGCAGGTTCTGGTACTAATGAAAGGATTGTAGGAGGAATGCTTCGTTGTTCTTGTGGTTTAGTATTAAGAGCAAAGGAGTTGAAAAACTGGGCATCATCTAAAGGTACAAAAGAACAAAGTGTTTCAAACGAAGGATTATATGTTATTTATGAAGAAAATACTAGCAATGGTCAAGGACATGTATATGTAAAAGATAATGGAGAAAACAAAGGAAATGGTCTTTATAATTGGAGTGCAGCTGATTTAACAGCATATTACAAACTAGAATAAACCAATAGGTTGTTCGGTAATTTTCCCTTTCAATTCAGATTAAATAACTAGACAAGTTTAAACTTGTCTTTATCTAAATTTGTTTTTAAAAAATATATTCAATCTGTAATACAATTATCCTTTAAAAATTGTTGGCAATTATTAAGCCTAAATTCGATTGTTTTTTTATTTTTTGTCTAATTTTTTTTTTTTAATAACCTCATCCAATTGGATGTGTTCGAATCATGTTTTTATTTATTAATTATTTTATTTTAAAATTTTTTTTCTGTGACCACGTTAATTCGTGGTATGACCAAGACTTGAACCAAGGCCATGGAGGCTGTGTTATTCAGTGTGAAACCACCCCCTAATTTTTTGTCTAAATTCTATTGTTTTTTCTTGAAAAAATATCAACATCCTCATTGGTGTAGTCGGTAACACTCTAGTCTTTCACACTGGTACCTCGGGTTCGATTCCCGAATGGGGAGCTTTTAATTTTATAATATGAATGGTCACGGGTTCGATTCCTTCCTAGACACCCCTAAACTCAAATGAACTATGAAATTGTCAAATCGGGGGGCTTAGCGTAGTGGTTCCACGCTGAATCACAAGCCTCCGTGGCCAAGACCTTGGGTTCGAGTCTTGGTCATACCACGAAGTAAAGTGGTCATAATTAAAAACCTCATTATTGGAGGCTATACGTAGAGGTTCTGCGCTGAGTCACACAGTCTCCGTGGCCTTGGTTCGAGCCTTAGGTCATACCACGAAGTAACGTGGTCATAAATAACACACCTCATAATCAACCGGAAAAAAGCTCGACTTCCAAAAAAAACAACAACAAAAAAAAAAAAAAACATGGTGATTAGAAATTCTAATCCCAATAATATTAAAAAAAAAAAAAAAAAAAAAAAAAAAAAAAAAATTGTCAACTCACATTGGACGAAATATATCAACAAGGAATATTCCAAAATCACTCTCTCACTCATCACTCATGCAATCAAATTTAGCCTCTCAACAGACACACCATATGGAAAAAAAATTTTCAAATTTAAATAACATATGGAACTGCCACCACATACGGCAAAAAAAAAAAAAAAAAACCAAATCAAAATCAAATTAAATAAACATCACTTTACACATATCCAATTGTTATACAATATTTGAAAACAATTCATTCAAATTTGATTCATTTGTTTTATATTAATTAAAAAAACGAAATTTTTTTTTCATAATTTTTTTTACAATTAAATGGATTTCAAAAAAAAAAAAAAAAAAAAAAATATCTACATAAATCAAGGATCTTGTTGAAGATTTTTCAATCGTTTTTTTTTTTTTTTTTTTTTTTCTTCAGAAATATCATAGTATTTTTTAAAAAAAAATTTTTTTTTAATTTTTTTTTTTATTAATCTCATTTAAATCACAAGTCCTAAAAAATCAAGATAAAAATTAATTATTTGGTTGGAGAAAAAAAAATCTTTTTGGGGTTTTTTGATGTCATCACTCTCTCATATATATATAATCAAAAAATAATCTTAAATATCGAATTTTTCAAATTTTAATAACGAATTAACCTTTATGATTTTTCAAGATAATCAAGATTTCTTAAATTTTAATTTTATTTTATTTTATAATTTTATTTTTTTTGTTTTTTTTTTTTTTTTCTTTTTTTTTAAATTTTTTTGTATTTAAAGGTTAAAAAAATTAATTAGTTATTATCTTCACAACAATTTTTTTATAAAAAAAGAAAAAAAACAAAATAAAATGAAATTATTTAAAAAAACTATTATTGCTTTGGCTGCTTTATTTTTTGTTTCAGAAGCACAAAATTTACCAGAAAATTGTCAACCACCCCCATCATATGAATACTATATTTCAATTAATTCAACTCAATCTGGTAAATTTTTAAATCCAAAAAATTTAGATTATTATTGGTTTAATTTTGATAATTCATTAAATACAATTCCATTGAATGAATTTGATGAAGTTCGTAATCATTTCTTTTTTGAATATCATGGATTTGGTTTGGTTAGTAATGAAAACTTTTTAGAGAATTTCAATATTGGTAATCCTCAACTTGAGCCACCAAAATTCACTTTATTAACCAATGGTTATGGTAATAATGTTGGTAAATTTTTAATTGAAGATTTGACAACAAGTGAAACTACCTATTCAAATGTCCCATCCACAATTTGGCAAATTAATTATTTAAATGGTCCATCTACATTAGGCTCATATGGTTCATTGGCATTTAAATGGATTTCAATTAGATCACTTGAAACTGGTAAATACTTTGATACTTCTTTTTCAACATGGAGACATCAAGAATCTTACAATCCAACAACCCAAAATAAACCAATTCGTTTAACAAAGGTTGAAGAGAATACAACTTTGGGTATGAACACCGCATTCCAATTGGTACCAGTCGATAATGGTAAAGTTGCTATTCGTGATTACTATACAAACTATTTATCAAGCGATAATTCAAATGGTGCTACTACCCATACCTTCCAAAAATTAACTAGCTCTGAAAAATTATCTTTAGAGCCAGTTGATGCTTCTCTTGGTAGATATCTTATTAATAGTTCCAATGGTTATGTTAGAGAATTATATGATGGTACAATCTTATTTGATCAAAATCAATCTTTGGCTACAGTTTTTGTTTTAGCACTTAGATTCCCAATCTGTTAAAAGGTTTAAAATTAATAATCCTTAAAAAATAAAAAAATAAATAAAATTTTTTAAAATTATAAAAAATAAATTATAAAATTTATATTTTAAATAAAAATTGTGTAGATTCAAATAAAGGAATTTTTTAATAATTAATAAAATAAAGTAACGAGGTAATAAGTGTCAAATGTTTTAAATTAAAAATTATAATAAAAATTTTTATGGTCAAATTATTTTAACACTAATATTTTTTTTTAAAATAATTGAAGTAAAACCAAAAATAATCAATTTTTTTTTTTTTTTTTTTTCTTGGTTTCTTTTGTTATTTTAATTTTTATAGTAAAATATTTAATAATAAAAGGAGAAACTTTCCTTTTAAAAATTGGATTTTTTTTTTTATTTTAATTATAAAACTTTAATTTATAATATATAAAATAATAAGTTAATGAGAATTTTTATTCGAATCTTTTAATATTCGTTTTATTTTTTAATTCTTGAACAGTGATTTCTATATTTTTTATTCATAAAGATTTTTTTTGATTTTTTTTTTTTTTTTTTTTTTTTCATTCAAAAAACCTTTTTTTTTTTTTGAATGATAAGATATTTTAGATTGAAAAAAAATAAGGTTATCTCATAGACAATAGGGCAAGTTTAAAAAAAATAAAAGATTAATTACATTTCAAAATAATCGAGATTTTAACCTTATATTTTTTTCAAATATTATAAAATAAAACAAATGAATCTTTGATCATCAATTTTATTACGAGTAACAGGTTATATTCAAAAATATAAGGTTAAAATCTCGATTATTTTGGTAAAATAAATCTAAAAATTTTTTTTTTTTTTTTTTTCATTTTTATTTTCATTTTTTTTTTCATTTTTTTATTTTTTCAATTTTTTTTTTTTTTTATTTTTTTCTATCTCTCAACATACTAACCAAAAACAAATAAAAAAAACAAATAAAAAAAAAATAAAAAAAAAAGTGGTTGAAGAATCAAGTGATGAAGAAGAAGAAGAAAGGGTAAAATTCCAGAAAAGAAGTAGTGTAAAAGGGGAGAGAAAAATAAGAGTGAAGGCCAACTACCTCCGTATTAGGTGCTGTTACTGGAGATGTCCTTGGATTTGTCCTTGGTGCCGCTACCGCTGGTTCTTTTGGCCATGAAGTTTTGTAACTTGCAGAAGATTGGAAAGATGGTGCGGATATTCCTTCATAAAGTTCATATAAAATAAAAAATCTGTACCGGTAAAGAAATAACTATATACGGTCAACCATTTACAGAAATATATATTTTTACCGGTTATAGTAAAGAATAAAAATCTGTAAAAAAAAAAGTTTTTTATTTCTTAAAAATTTTCAAATTTTTAATTTTTATTTTTTTTTTAACACAACACATTTTATTTTTTTAAAATTATTTTTTAATTTCAATTTAAAATATTATTTACATGTAAAAATGACAGATAATAATACACCATTATCAAACAAAGATAAAAAAAATAAAAAATTTTGAATCACCACCTTTGGCAAATTTAAATATAAATGGATATTAATGTAGTGAATGTTCAAACAAATGTAGTAAATGCAGTGAAGAAATGAATAAATTAAAAAAAGAAATAATCGAAAAAGAAGTAGAAATATCACGTATTAAAAATGAACAACAGTCACATACCGATACTATTTTTTTGGAACAATTTGAAAAAAATAGAAGATTATATAAAGAAAAAGACAAGATACAACAATTAGAGAAAGAGAAACACGATCTCATTGATAGAATTAATCAACTCGAAACGTATTATACTGAACAAGCTAAACAAATAGAGAGACTTCAATACGATAACAGTAATTTGATTGAGAATGTAATAGAACTTCAAAAGGATAACAAAGAATTAACAGCAAAATACGAAACAATTAACAGTGTTTACATTACACTCAAACATGAACTTATTGTACTCAAGCGTGAACATAGTGAACTCAAGCGTGATAACAGTGAAATCAAGCGTGAACATAGTGAACCCAATACCAAATTTGATGGTTTAAAAACGGAATTTAAAGATCTCACACCCTCAATCATATCACCAATTGTATCACAACAAAATGCAGAGATATCAGTTTATGTATATATATCAAACCTTTCAAAAGTACATTTTGATGGCAAAACTTAGAGAGACAGATGCAGATAAATATCATGATTCAAAATGGGATTCATTTAGTTGTAATTATACAGATGATTCTTTAGCAGATAAAGTATCATGGGATATATATAGAATAGATTTAGCTAGATTGTATGATTTTAATGAATTAAGAAACAATACAGCACACCCAATTAAATCAACAAAAGTTGCAATCAATGATAATATAATTAAAATTAAAGCAAGAGAAGAAGAAGAATTAAATCAAAAAGAATTTTGGAATACAAATGTAACTACTAATGATCAAAGAAAAGAATTAACAAACGCATATATATTTTTAAAAGATGGTATAGTTAATGCATGTGCCAACTATCAACCTTCGATATAAAAAAATAAAATATATAAAATTTTTAAATAAATAAAATAAATTCAATCAAAATTTTATTTTTTATTTTTAAACACTAACATACAGAACGTAGTAGTGATCTGGTGTGATTTTTTGAGAGAAAAAATTTATCTTTTTTAAAAAATAAACTTTTTTTTTTGTTAAATTTAAACCAACAAAAGGTTTATTTAAACCCCATTATATTATGGTTTAAAATTAACCGATGTTTCTCTTATTAATCTGGGGATGTTCAATTGTTTTTTTAATTTTTTTTTTTTAATTTTTTTTATAATTAACCCCAGGAAATGA